GAAAAAAAAGAAGCAAAAGAGCACCCTCCCTAACGGGTTTCTTGTCATTCATTCTATTCGAAAATCGAAAAGTCCCACGAGAAGAATTTTTTTCCCCCCTTCCCACCCTGAATTCGAGTTAACCGTGAGAAATTCGTTATAGGGAGTGAAAATTTTCATTCGAGATATCCGGAAATTCCAGATAAGCGGAATTTCGACTTATCAGGATTCGAGTTAACGAGTTTTCAGTGTACCTCATTTCAGACCCAAACGACAAAAGTGAAAATGTGTGATTTTCAACCATTTTCTCCCGCAACTTCTCCGATGCCGTCCATCGATTTCACTTTCGCACTCAACAAAATTCCCCGACGAAATAAAATCGCATGCAGTCGGATCGGAATAGAATTTCATCTCACTTTCATGGACTCCAGCGCGTTCCGTTTCCTCGGTTCGACTTCGACAAGTTTTCAACCGACACGAATGGAAAATTGCCTCTCAGAGGATTGCATCGTACGTGGGTAAATATGACAAATCATATTTGACCCTTTTTCAGCCGGTCTCCCAACTTCGGGACAGAAATGAAAGATTCTTTCAATCTTATGACGATTACATCTAAATGAAGAAGGAAATTTCAGAGAGCTGCATGAGATTTTTTTCGACATTGTACATGGTTTAGTCAGACCGAGCTTGTTTATGCCCACCCCCACCCCACCCACCCCCACCCCACCCCCCCTTACATGTTCCACCACTGCTGTTTACCTCACATTCTCTTGAGGAAATGCGTGGGATGGTTCTAGAGAAATTGATATTCGTGACCATATATCGACGGATATCGTGATATCGACGATCCCTTCGGTCGGAAATGCGGGCGAAAAAACGTCAGTGTGCACATAGGAAAGTTGCGAAAGCGATTTTGCGGTTTTTTTTTGCTCGCGTCTCGGTCATGGTTGTTGGGGCAATCGCCTTCCGCTTTTGGGATCGCGAAAATCCGCAACTGCAATGTAAGAAGATAATTTTTTTTCTGAAGGTCGGAAGCGCAAAAACCACAGCTTGCTTTTCGTGGCAAGGACGAGGGCAGGCGAAGAGATTTCGCTGAATAAGGCCCCGATTGCGGAAAAGGCTGGTGACAATCCTAAAAATTGAATGTATTCATTTATTCCTTTTCAAAGTATAATCCCCCCCCCCCTCCCGTGTCCGGGAACTATGGCTGTTTCTTGGCTGAAATTCCGCTAAAAATTGTGCACTTCCAGAGCGAAAGGCTCCAGTCGCGACCCACCCAGGGAGACAGGTCCTCACGGCACTCTCCAAGAAAACGGACTGGGACTGCCAATGGAAAATCCCACCCCGCTGCCATCGAGGCCATCCGCTCCACCAGCCCCCCCCCCCCATCCCCCTTCCCCCCGACACTCCGAGCGACACAAGCCTCCCATCGACGGCTGGGAACGAGAATGCCGCGAGGCGATGCCATCCACGCTGACCGGGATGGAACCTTCCCCCACGAAAGCCTCGCAACCGGCGGGAGCGAAAGGAGGCGAACGGACGCTCCGGCTTTTCTGCGTTCGTTTAGGCTTAGTGGAGTAACCAGGAGGGGGCAGTGAGGAGTCGGAAAAGAATGAGGGCGAATTTACGGTGTGCGGTAAATATCGCGATGGGAAACCGATCGATGATGATCGGTCCAGTTCAAAAGAATACCCCATATCGCGTCAACAAATGTCTCATCGTGTAACCTCGTGAGGAAACTTCTCAACGAGAGTCTATTTCTTTCTTGCCAGCGATTGCTCGACGTTCTCACCAGGATTGGCCGTGCGAAACGGAGCGTCGATGTCAGCCTCTACGTTGTTCCGAATGAACGGAGTTCGTTTCTTGGCAATGTGATCCCATTTATTTCAAAGGAGACAAGTGTGAGGGATTTGTCATTCGTTGACAGCAACAGCGACTTCTGCTTCCAGAGCAATCCGAAAGGTGCACGACGATCACGACCACATTTTTATTCCGAGTCCAGCAGGTTTTCATTTGACGACGAAATTCAAATATATCTCGAAGGCGACGAGGAGCTGGGCCAACCGGGGACAAGCGTAAAAGCGTTCCACTGAACCGCAAAGCACCGCACGTGACGCGGTGAAACGACAGCGTTTTTCTGACGGATCGGTCGATCCGCGTCGACGAGTTCACACGGCGTTCACATTTATTGGGTCGGGAAACGAAGCAGTGCGAGACGTTAGAATCGATTTTGCGGCTCTAGAAATCGTCGTCGGAATCCTTTACGTCCGCCGTGATTTCCTTGGCCTCTTTCCCCCGATCCATCTCGATTTCTGCGTCCGAGGAGAGATCCGAGTCCACGTTTCCCTCGAGGCCGATCGTCCTCTCGGTCTCCCTGGCCCCGACGGGGCGATCCCCGGCCAGCTCCAGGGCCACGTCGGAGTCGGAGTCCAGGGAGTCCGAGTCCGCGCTCTCCTCGCCGGCCTGCATGGAGCCGAACACCCGGCGGTGCGGCTTTCTTCCGCCTCGTTGGAGGTGGCTTCCCACCAGAGCTGCCGGAAGACGGGGGAAGGCTCGTCAGAACGAGAAAAAGAAAGGAGGCGTTTCGTGCGGGATGTCGCTTACCGTCGCCGTCGCCGTCGTCGTCGTCGAGGTCCAGTTCCACGTCCTCGGATCCCCGCAGCCGTTTCTCTTCTTCCTGCTTCAGTCGCTCGAGGAGCCTTCGGGCGACTGCTTGTCTCTCTGCTACGCGCTCCCTTTCGATCCTGGAGAACAGCCAAGGATAAATAAGTGATCCAACGAAACGAGACCGTCCCATGGACTGGGTCCATGGTAAGTTATATTTCTCGGGAGGGGGGAGATCGTATCGTGCATCGCATGGCAGATCGTACAACGTGCCAGGTACTCGGGAAGCAGGCGAGCATACACCCACCCAAGTATGTCACGAAAGCCTTCTTTGCTCGCGTGGCATGTCATAAATCACCGTAACTGCCAATTCTCATAGTTGCCTGTTCGTCGTGCCTACTGGGTCGAACGGTCGGTTTACGCCTACTTCGCTGCAGCGGCTTGAATTATGCAGACACATATAATTTTTATACGAAGAGAGTTGAGCCGAGTATGAGCTTTATATGAGCCGAGTAACGCAGAGGAATTAGTCGCTAATTGCTGCAGTGTTTTTTTTTTCCTTCGCTATCATGGGGAAGCGATGATGTGGGATAGGCCAGGTGTCGTTTCATTAGGATAGCGGAGCCCCAATCGTGGAAATTCATGTATGCCTACCATCAGCGTACGTTAGAAGCCGAGCCCATGCAAACTCTCGGTCGATGGCAGGATGGGACGGAAAGGAAATTGTGGCATGACAGGCCAAACCCGAGGGGTGAATGTCCCAGTGTGCCTTGTTCGACGCTGATATTGCCCTACAAACTGGCCTTGTGGCATGATGGCTCGCGCAGAGCAAGTCTTCTTCCCGAGTCCCATAAAATGAGCTTTCCCGACCGAATCAACCTTACAGCTTCGATTGTCGTTGTGTCTTTACGGTAACTTATCCACGAGGGGGTGACGTGATTCGAAGGGATTAAACAGGTTACAACCACTTTCACATATTGTATATCTGAAATACAACCGGTCTTGATTCTTTTTTTCCCCCACTGTTGTAATTCTAATATGTCCATATTCCTGGTGGCGAGGTGAAACAATTCATTGGAAACGTCAGCATTCACGCTGCAATACAAGTGTCATTATCACCGAAGACGTGCTACTGAAAGCCTCTTTCGAGAAGTATACGCACGAGGAGCCCGAATAAAACGTCCAGCAGCTTCAGTCGGCTTCGAGACTCCGAGAGTCGATTGAGAGTGGATCAAACTCGCTCCCATGCCAATCTTGTACGGTGAGGGATTTCTAGCTATGAAAACCCTGACGATGGAGAACGGCTTCAAGATTACCGACCTGTGAGAACCACCGAGTTGCCGAGGTCGCGTGCGGTACTCCACATCCCACCTGATTATCGGCTTATCCCAATCCCTTCCTTTAGCGAAATGAAGGCGGAACGAGGGAGAACCTAAGGAAAACAGTGCATACTGAGCTATAGATAATATTCATGGTTGGGAGGTTCCACGCATCCACGATATCCTACTAGATATATAGAGCATGCGTGACTCCTACAGTGCAGCTGTATGTTTTCAAAACAGCCTCTTGCTACATATCCCTCCTGTGGTGCAATGAGAAGGTCGTGGATCGGCCATCTTAATGTGGTAACCTGCTACAAAATATGTCAGCACTGTGGGACACTGGGATCATGGGACTGCACATCTGATACAGAGAGTCGCGCAGAACGAAAATAGACGTAATGGGAGTAGGCGCCCACAGAACGAAAACCAATTTAACATTTTCGTGGCATTATCATTGAATATTAATTACTCTCTTAATGCTTGCCAAATATGTATCTCGAAAAGCCAGAAGCGAACTTTCCCGTCTTAGCTTAGAGGCAGCTCGAGAGTGAAGAAGTCGGTCAAACGAATGAAAGGAGAAACATTAGAGACTGGAAAGGGCTGGAAAAACTACAGTCAACCTTCGATACATCGCCAATATTGGTCTGTTGGGCCTTGCAGATTTCGGCGCTACATCGAGTTAATCGCATTCCCATTGTAAGCTTATGGGGTCTGTCCACGAGAAGGGGTTGGCAGCGAGCGAGAGCGGCGGTACAACAGAGGTTGCCTGCATGTTTTTCCGTAATTTCTTTTTTTTTTTTTTTTTTTTTTTACCTATCCTGTTCCTCCAGCGACTGTTCCAAGGCGGCGAGGCAGCGGAACTTGAGGAAGTACTCCTCGTAGAGTTTCTTGAAGTCCACTTCCATCTTCTCGTATTCGTCCATGAAGGCCGGCCGGACTTTCCTCAGCGTCTGCAGCCGCTTATCCGTCCTCTCCAGCTCCACCCGCTTCTTCTCGATCCTCCCGTCCCATTGAGCCTCCTCGCTCGAGATGTTCTCGCTGTTGTGCTGCACCTCCTGCACCTCCTTCTCCGCCTGAGTCCAAGCGACACATTCACTTACAAAGCGAACCCCGGCGAGAAGGGCTTCCTTAGGAACGGGTGGAGGTGCGAACCTGCTGGACGGCTTTCCTTAGCGTCTTCTCGACGTCGTTCAGGTCCAGCTGCCTGGCCAACACCGTTAGCCTCACCTCTCTCAGGTTTACCTGGACGTCAACAGAAACAAGACCTGGTTTCATCTGCGTATCTACTAAGTTTCTGAAGACCGTGCAGACGACATTTGTGGAATGTGCGATCACCCAAGTGATGGTGGCCAGAATGACATGAACATACGCACCAGAACGGACAAATATGGACCATTCAATTTATGTTATGCGTCAAAAGATGAAAATCAAGGAAGGCAAATGATTTCAAAGTTGAAATTTGCAATTATTTCTTGGGGCGAGATGTATATCATTTCCCTCTGTCGAGACTTCATGAATACCGCAGAAAAATGTCAGATTTCCACTTGTAGTTACAGGCAAAAATCGACCTTAGTATTGGACCGACATCACAGGTATCCGAAGAAACAATGCGAACGGTGGATGCTAGCAAAAAATTCCTTGTCGAGCTTGCCTCCTTCCCGAGCAGATCGAAAAGCGTCGCCCCCTTGGTGGTGATCTGGGACGCCAGCTGGCGAGTCTTCTTCAAGTCCGTCAACTTATTGGTGAGATCTTGGATGCCGGAGGGAGCGGCCATCAACGCTGCGTTCTCGTTGGTCGACTCGCTCGGGGCATTCTTCATCGCCTCGTAGAGGAGAGACGCGACCTTGAGGATCTCTCGGACGGCGTAACCGTCCGCCTGGTAGAGTTTCTTCGTGTTCAGCTTGATGTGAGCCTTCGTTGCCATCAGCTGAGCCACGCTCTTGATGAAGATCACTCGGTCCTGTTCCGTGTCGGTGTCGGCGGGTAGGTAGGCTTCTGGGTCGTACCTGGCGTCAGAAATGACGTTTTGACCGAAGTCGGAGCGAGGCGAGAGGGAAGGAACGAGATGTCTCCGACGTCACTCACCTGTTGACCAGCCACTGGAGAATCGAGGCCAGGAGGGGAAAATTTGGAGTGCGAAAATTCTCCATGGAAATCAACCGAGGAAACCCCAGTGCCCTCATCATTTCGCAGAAGTTTCTCATGTCCCTGTACGACATTTTTAGGTGCGGTTCGAATGGTCCTGTCCCCCACAAGGACGCCAAGCGATCTGCACAAATCGGTCTTTCGGAAGTAAAAAGATAAACCCTGACGGCTTCAAAAGCGGGTTCTTACGTTCTACATCTGCAGAGTCGAGAAAGCGCACTCACAGATGCCCGAAGATACGTAGTCCTTCCGATCCAAAAGAATCACCTACTAATACCACTAGGGACACCCTAGCGGGTACGAGAAGTTATTATCGAAAGACTCTACGCCCGGCGAGAAGAGAATTGAGGGAGAAGGGGGGCGTCACCGCCAGGTATCGACGACCCGCGTCCCTGTTGCGTGCTCTCCGTTGCCATGGTAACGCCTTCACCTGCCCGTTCGCCTCTTACCTTTCACACACATTGCAAAACGTGACTCTTTTGCGCCATGAATCATGACTCATTCATGATCTTGTCATCTCTCATCAGCCTGAGGGCAGACGAGAACGATGAACGTATTTCGCCCGATATTCCATCAACCCGTCTCGTCAAAGTTTTAGTGAAGAGGCAGCAATACCGCTTAGCAGTCAACCAGGGAGCAGAAAGCTGCAGTTCTCTGCTTCCCAGCAATTACGAACCCAAGGTTGACGAAGGGGCAATGAAGGACATGCAGTGAGTCTCAAGATCGTCTCCTCCACAACCTCTTCCGTCTAGATGGAATGACTAGAAGCCTTTGTCGAGCTTCTATGCACTTTGATGATAAAAAATGGACGCCACTACAGTTTTTTTTCATGAAACATGAGAAAGATACTGCACTAGAGCGACACAAATCCAAAATAATGAGGACAGGAAGTGGTTCAAGAAGCAAGGTGCTGCTTTACTGCAGGGATTCACATGATCAAATCAATTCCACAAGAGGTAGCATTAGAGAAAAATTGCACGGATCCAACAGAAAATGATACCTCGGAATCACACTAAACGCAGAGTTCAGTTCAAAGCGTCGGTTCCTTACTGGAATCGGAAATCGGCATCATGCCTTGGAGCCAATTCATGCATTTCCAGCTCCCTTCATCACCCCGAGATCAGCATGACACTGGGCTTTACAGATGCAAATAAAGGATCCATCCCAAGCTCAAGTCCTAAAGCTTCAGCCTTAAACATCAGTGGATGACCTTTGTATTTCGGTTCCTTTCAAAATAGTGATCCTGCAGTGCATGATGTTACTAAATGCAAGGTTATTAAGGCATTCATGAATACAGTGATTATACTAAGCAAGTAACCATAACCATGAAAATTTGCTGGTTGGTCTTTTTGGTACATTCCAATCAATGTAAATGCAGTTGCATGAAAGTGTTGCAATTGGGAGTAAGTGTCAGAGCTCTTCACTCACTTGGACTTCATCCATGAGGCAACTTGGCATGAAACAGGCTATTCAGTATGAATCACTCATTTGCAAAATAAAATTAGATTGGATAAGGAAGTCATAGCAGTGGGGCACCACAATGCAAAAATTCTATAGTGATTTTGCATCAACTGAAGGAATGAGGGAAATATGATGCATTCCCTAAAGTCTCAAGCAAGAAATGGAAGGGTCTTGACAGAGCCCACTTATGTGAGCATTTTCTTCCTCTCTTTTTATTTGCATTGTATCAAGCATACTGAAACTCACCTCAGAGGTATTTTGCAAGTATGTCAAAACCATGAGAGACAACACCATCCCTATCCCTGCCCCTTAGTCAATGATGGAAATGCAAAGTTAGAAAAGAATGCTTTGTGTGTCACATATCTAGAAATGAAAAATTTCTGCAAGAACAGGATGTCTTAGAGAGGTCCTGCTGGGCAAGAACAAAAGCCTGAATTATTAGAGAGGAACTCCTTGGGTGATTCCATTCACAGCTCCGGAAGTACCATATTTTCCAGCATTTTTGTTCATCCTGGCAACTAAACCACAGTCACATTAAACGCACCAACTCACAGAACAAAACTGTTATGCACACTACCACTGTCTCTAAGTTTCATCAATGTCATCCATCAGTCAATCTTTGAAATGTCAAACCCAAACCACTTACCTTTTTTATTATTATAATGGTGCTCATCTGCAGCCATGTTCTGCACAAAAATCACCCCTTTAAGTGTCATAAGTGAGCATGGCATGTCTCTCATGACTTTGAAATTCTTGCACAAGGTCATAAAATGAATCTGAGGATGTCCCTGAGTCCTTCATATGCATACAATGCATTCCAGGCCTAAATTTACCAGATGAGATATGGACTTTCCTGATGGGAGTGGATGCAGAAGATCCCACAAATGATAAGCCATAAAGCAGTAGAGGGACTAAAGCTATGGGCTGTTGAATATATTGAGTATGCAGAACTGTAAAATTTAACTATTTCCTTCATCATTTGCATAGATTCATTTTATGTTGTGACAAGGTTCCTAGCAGAACAAAAGAGCTCCCTCAATCTGAAGTAGTAAACATAACCCTTAAGTGCAATTCTGCTGCATACTAGATACTTAATTGTTCTTTCTCACAATTCCTATTGTTACTTAATACCTCACTAGAATTAGGACCCTCCAATGAATTCATCTATTAATGGCCATTCAATGGGAGATATGGGACTACATCAAAATTAAATTAATTGTAACTACAAAGGGGATTCTTTGGTACAGCAGAAAAATTGACTGAATTTAATGGTCATTTGGGCATACAGGTAAGGGGAGAATTCAGACTTCAATCAGATCAGCAGCTTTACAATGGAATCTTTTCATCCCAAGATGACAAACACACTTTGCAGTTTCAGGAGGCTCCTCAGTGATAGTTATCTCTTTCAAGTTAAAAATCCTATTTTTGGACAGCAAACCACTACAGGGCTAAGGTCCCAAATCCTTGGAAAACCTATTTTATCCTTGAAAGGGCAGTAAAGTATCACTAAACTATTTGAATATAAATGCATCTGAGAACTTTAGATCTGGAATACACTGCAAGGTGACAAAGTATATGAAGGAAGTTCAGCAAGCTGCTGCAGCTGCATTTACAAAACTGGGGTATGAGAGTAAATTCAGGCATGTGACAACCAAATGATACTGGGCATGATGGGAGAACTTGTCCAACACTGGTCTCAGGTACAAAATAGAACCCTTGTATCCTCCCAATGGCTAAAGGCCTACATAATGCCATGCGACATATTTGTATAAATACTATAATGGAATACAGTGGAGTACTAAATGAGGAAGGATGGGACAGGAGTCATCAGACTGAACTGGAGATTTCTCTTGGTGTATCACAGTCCATCCGCCATTCGGCGGTCATGTACGCCCCTTCACCATGGCCACACTCCTCACAGTGCACCGAACTGCACATTTTTGCATGATTTCCATTCCCATTGTGGCTGCAGTTCAATGCCTTCAACTCAGTCAAGTTCAAAGCTTGTTTGTTGCTGCTCGAAGATGGAGGTGGTTGAGGGGCAGAAGATGGAGGAAACGTAGACATGCGAGGGGGCCCTACTGTCACTTCCAGTCCATTGATGTTTGTGCCAATGCCAGAGCCAGTCAATTGTCTTTGTTGCTGAGCTCGGGCATGCATCAAACTGGTTCCCACACTCACCGCCTGTCCTAGGTTTGGAGATGAAGGCCAAAGTGCGATGGGCTGTTCGGGAAGAACAGGAAAAGAGACATTCAAAATCTGGAACAGGCTCTTCAAAGACAGGGACAGTAAGTGAGTTACATGCAACTTTTAGAAGTTAACAGACCTAAGGACAGATTGACTCAATTGGAAGAGCATTGAAATGTGAAAACTTACAACTGGTTGTAGGCCTACATGCGGAAAGGAAGGCTTGGCGGGGGATTTGGATGCCATCAATTGCTCTGCACTCGGCACTCTCTGAGTTCCATTCATCACATTTCCCTTTCTCCATGACTCTGGAAACCCATCCAAGTCATTCAAAACACAGGCAGCAGTATACACTCATAGATACAGACAGCATTGACAAAAAAGTCTGATGATTACACTAAATTACTAGGTTATTGGTGCATGACTCCTTGCATTTTTCATCAACTGCAGATCTGGGGCTTGCTAAGGACTGCTATCCCATAGCAGGAATTTCTTGGAAACTTGCATTTTCTTGCTGGAGGAATTTTTCACTTTATGCTGTGGCTTTATCAAGTCTTAAGTTATAAAGAAGGGTCATGAAAGCATTACACAAATTTCTAGTTACATTTTTAAATCTAGAAAGAACTAAAGTCAAAGATGTTTTAAATTACCAGCACAAGAGGGAGAGGAAGACATGGAAGAGTCAGAGGAACCAGCACTGCTGTTGCTGGTGCTTCTCAGCGCATCAGAGGATGAAATCACAAAACCCATTTTCTTTCTCATTCTCCTCTCTCTTGCCTGAACTCTATTTCGCTCTCGTATAAGGGCAGCCTGGACGGGGTCTTCCATCAATGCATGACGCTTTGCTAGAAACATCATTAACATACATATTGATTTTCTGGATTTCATTTCACAGAGGAAAGGAACTATAATGATGGAAAGGAACTCAAACCTTTGACTCTTTCCCGTTGTTTCTTCTTGTAGGCCTCATAAGCAGAAGGATTTGTGACTCGCAAGAAGTCCCTGCGTTCTTTCATTCGCTCTCGCTGTCTCTTCTTGTAGTCCTCATAAAGCTGCGGGTCTCGACGCAGTTCCATTCTTCTCTGCCGAACCGTTTCTCGAGTTTTGCGCTTCTGCTCCTCGTATAATTCTGGGTTGTTCATACGTAGCTCCATTCGTTTTTGACGAGCATACACCCGATTTCGGGACAGTGAATTCTGATATCGTTGACGAAGAGCCAGGCTCTCCTGGGTTTCCAAATTTCCAAGACCACTAATTCCTTCATTCATCTATGGAAAGCAGAAAGTAATTGTAAGTAAGGTTTTTCATCTATGAGGCACACTTCTACACATATTCCAGTCTCTTGGGCTTGGGGAGACATGAATTTTGCATATAATCTCACACCCAATGATTCATATCACATGCCATTAAGAACTTCATATACAAATTTAAGAATATGAAGTTGAACATTTTGGAGTTCATAAGATCAAGACAAAAAGACCCACCCTATCTCTTGATACCATTCTGTTCCGGTGGCTTCGAGGTTTTCGTGGTCTTTCTCTTTCTTGACAACTGACATTGGCAGCACCTCTGAGCTTGGACACATCTCCTTCACTCAGATCAAGCCCCTAAGAAGACCAATTTATGTAATCATACATGGCCTCATTCACCTTTATTTTTTGGGCAGTGAAAATTACTCTGCCAAACAACCATCCTCTAGCTCCCATTACCTCACTAATTAATGCTTCCTTGACAAAACTTTTCCTTTCAGGAATAAGTCATTTTCTCTACTTAGTGTACCTAGTGAGTCAAATTCCAAGGCCATTTGATTGTATGACCATGGACTCAATAGACACTATCTACAGCAATCACAATATATATTTGCCTCTGCTTCTTTTCTATTTTTCTCTCTTTCTCTCTCTTCCTCATTACTGAATATGACTGCATTTCATGACATTCACATAGGAGTTCCAAACAAATACATTGACATCAATTTTCATATCTTGTTTTTGAAGCAGCCTTCAGAGGGGTGGAAAATGCAGAGCAAAGAAAATGAAGTCATTTTTGCAGTTAACTTCATAGAACCTGGGCCAGGATAACTCTCAAGCTCAAAAAAATTTGAATAAAATGAAGTCATGCAAGCAATGCTTTAGATACAATAGTATACAACAGTATACAACAGAATATATCAGAACTCTGTCTCATAGCAATGGGAAGTCAAAAAGCATTTAAGCAAAATAGTCAAACTTTTTTTTTTTAGCAATTATGGGGGGCAATTAAGAGGGCCAGAATACCATGAAATGAATATTTTGAATAGTTCAAGTTCTAATCAATCAGATTTCTATGAATTCCTGCATGAATCCCTTATGTATCCAGGAGGAGCCTCGCACAGATACCCATTAATTTGAGAGAGGGGGTATGAGAGGAGGCATTACAAAAACTTGAGACCCTGCCTCTGATAAATTTGATACAATGATTCTGGCACTACAAGCCATCACACCTTGAATGGAAGCATGCAAGAAATTCCACATGAACTTCCCCCTTTAGATGCATGCAATAATCACTGGCAGAGTGAGTGAGATATAGAGGATGGTTTGGTGGACATGTAGTCACTCCCTTCTTAGAAAAACATTAGCCAATATCAGCATACTGCAACAGGTGTGAAGAAATCTTGAGGAGAAGGGAATGCAGGAGGGAAGTGACCAGATGCTGATTCCAGTAGTGATGAGATTCCAAAGAGAGATGGGAGAAACTCCCTTGTTCTTGGATCATCAGTTGGGCATTCCAATTTCGGCTGAATGGAACCTTCTGTCTCCTCAACCTATAGAAGCAATTCATGGATTTAGGCCTAGTATTGAGGTCAAGGATGCTTTCCCCTAAAGTTCACACCAGGCCATATTCATATGGTACTTCAAGTTCTCGCCTGCCAATTTCATTCGCTTGAGTCTGACACTTTTCTGAATGCTCAGACACCTGTGTAGGCCTAGAGGCATACCTAATTTATCTTTCTGTCCCGAATCTATTCATTCAGGGGTCTAGCCTACGCATTTGTAGCTACAGGCCTAGGCTACAGAAACGTTCCAATTTAGGCTTATCCGTTCGCCCGCCTATTCCGCTACACGCTCCAATAGGTCTCTCAAGTTGGGCTGTCATATTTGATGACAGCAAGATTGCCGAGAAGAAGACTTACATAGCTGTTCTCCATGGAAATGCCAATATGGTGAGATGCCAGAATTTGATCGAGGGCAAGATGAACTTAATGCTGAATGAACTGCATGCCGAAAGCTCGATATGACAGGTGAGCGCGAGAGGTCGAGGTAGACAAGCAACGCATGGAGACCGCCATCTTCTTTTCGCTGGCAATCCTCACCGCCCTGCCCACCCCCAGTGCATTTCCCCCATCGAGTCGATCTATAACCTCCTCATCCTCTCACTTCTCTTCATCTGTGTTCCAAGACCCACCCAACGATGGAAATTTTACGATCGTTGCGAGTAGCAATTGACTTAGAAGGAACAGCATAGCTGGTTTCGTTCAGCTCAGTTTTGCTTCTCGGCACTCTTTCGGAGTTCGGATTGTTGGAGGAATTAGATTTGTTTGAGGTCTGTTGCGGGACTTTCTTCAGAGGGAAAAGCGATTTTATTGTGAGTTGTCAAACAGAAAAATGGGTGAAAGCCGAATTTGTCATCTATAAAAGTTATCCCACGATGAAAAAGTAAGCTCTCTGTAACGAAAGTTCGCTTTTTTTTAGTTTCATAATAGTACAGTAGACATTTGCTTTATAAAAAAAAGTAGCTTAAGCTCAACCAAGCAGAAAAACTAGCTGAACACCTTCATCCACATCTGATTTTTTTTTGTTTCTCTGCGAGAGGTTGTTGATCGGCGAGACGTAAGATTGCGTTATGGCCATTCGCAGAAGGCGTCCGCACATAGTACTGCTGATTGTCTGAGAAGGAAGAAACAGAAACGTGGGTCTTTCGCAATATTGGAGAGTCAAGGGAAAGGTTCCGACATCCGGCAGTCGGTTTCATCGAGACCCAGATCTATGAGGGAAGCCGTGCCTCCTGCATTCCCCTTTTGGATTACCCGGGTCCAAAGAAAAGCGGATTTGCAGAGACCGATACCGGCGTCCTGCATGAGAATGCCCCGAGAGAAGAAAGGAAATCTCGTTGCCGGAAGATCAGAAGAGACGGAAGAGACCCCAAGGACGACAACGGCCCGGTCACGACGGAGCCGAAGAGGATGGATGAAGTGCCGCTCCGAAGTGGAAAGGCATACTCCTTCGCGGGAGGTCGAATGCATGCATCTGCGTGGCCGACGGCTTCGTGTATCTGCAGCGAAAGAGAGAAATGCGTTAATTGTGGCCGAGAGGAGTAAGGAAGCGGGAAGCAGACTTGGAAGCACCATGAATATAAGCACTCCGAGAGAGCCGACGGTAGAAAGTGACCCCCGAGTAAGCGCCAAAGAAAAGGAGAGGAGTATCGTGCTTACAAAAACGAGCCGGAAAATCAGCGTTATTTCTCAGAATTGGAGGGTATAATTAGGTTTTACGTTTCATCGGGATGCCCATTCGCATGCGAATTCCAGGTTCCTTTTGGTGCGAGTCAATCGCCCTTACCTTCGACACGCACAGAAAACCGATCATTCCAGAGGAAGCTAGCGTCATCTGCGACGAACGGATGGACCCACGTCCCCGTCGATCGACGACGAGAAGATTCGGACGAAGGGCTTGCCCTCGGGGATCGGATCGCCGACGCATCGTCACCCCGACCGACCGATCGTCGTTTGCGGTCGACCAGAAAATATGACGAGGGTGGCGTGACCCGGAATCCGGCGCGGCGTGACACCGGAGCCTTCTCTGCCGTGCTCGATCCAGAGTCGAAAGGACGAGAGGAAGACCAGGACGAGAGGAAGACCAGGACGAGAGGAAGACCCGAACGCAGGAAGAACGGACTTGGAACCCCGGAGAAAAAACGGCGAAGGCTCGCCTGTGCACATTTCGTATCGGCGATCGGGCTTCGAACCTTCAATTAAGAATCGACGAAGGACTCGGAGATCTCGTCGACTACGGACGAGAGGAAACCGCAATCGGATCGATTAGGAAGGTCATAATCCTTACGGAACGGAATGACCTCAACCGGGCACGAGCACGAACGAGAAACGACCCGATCGGAGGCGAAGAGAATCGGAGATCGCCGAAGTTCGGCTGCGCAAATCTTCGGGAAATCGCTTCTCTGGCTTTTCGACTCTATGGCCCTATGGCCATTCCCTCGGCCAAAAATGCTAACGATCACTTTCTAAACCCCAAGACGCTCGCGGCGATTCGGGCATCCATAGAGCACCCGAATTCTGCAAAGCCTTATTGCCGACTTATCGCCTGTTCCTTATTGCCCGTCCGTCCAGATCCTCGGATTCCGCATGACTCGACGAGATTTACCGGCGGAGACGCGGCGGGAGCGCGAGGAATCCATCGAAGCAGAAGACGAAGCACCCGGAACTCCCATTAATCGCCCAACCCGGAATGATAAAAAAAAAAGCAACCGCATGAAATAACGTTGGTCTCGGGAAAGGAGCCGATCCATGTTTTTCGGACCGTGAGCATGAAGAAAGCCTAGTGAAGCGAGAAAAGCCCTCGAGGTGGGGAAATTTGCATACGGAACGGACGAGAGCCGTTCGCGGAAGGCGCGATCCGCGCGAGACGGAAGGCGAAATCGCGAACCCCCGAAACGTCTCGCGCCGTCTCGATCCGAGTTGAAATCGCTCGAAATTTCTCTTTCGGGTCCTAAACTCGAATTTCGAAGAACTCGGGAAAGCGTCCTTCGTTGCCGCGACTTTTCCGCAGGCGACGAAAGATTCTTCGACCCTTTCGCTTTTGATTTCCGCCGACGCGGACGGGAAGGCTTCTTGGTCGCGACGATGGCATTTCGGGTCCGAGACACATACCTCGAAACTTTTGGTGCATGCAGTCCATTCTAGGGCAACCCCATCGGTTCGGGTCTCTGCCTTCCAGCGGCGGGAAAACGTGCGACTGCTAAGGCTT